CAGATGGCCCCGCCCCTCCCTGAGCCTGGTTCTGCTGGAGGTTTCTTCCTGTTAAAAGGGAGTTTTTCCTTCCCACTGTCACCAAAGTGTTTGCTCATAGGGGGTCATATGATTGTTGGTTTTTTCTCTGTTTGTATTATTGTAGGGTTATAGTATAAAACGCCTTGAGGTGACTGTTGTTGTGAGTTGGTGTATAAATAAAACTGAATTGAATTGAAAGGCAGGCGTCTCTCGGTGGTTGTCTGGGTGAAAACAGCTTGTGGAGTGTCTCAGTGAACAAACTCTTGGACAGATAATCTCTGAGATTTGAACCTCTAAAGTGTCCACGTCTTTGGTTCGGAACCAAACACCTCCAAGGAAATGAGCTTTTGTGGCGACTGAGCTAATGTCAGCTGATGTTGGGGTCAGACTACGCTATGGGCCAAATCTGTGCCCTGACATCCTAAAGGGAAAAATAAAGCTCATAAAAAGCTTTAGTTTGGCCCACACACCTTCTAATAAATAACTGTGTTTGCTGTTTGACATGTTTGACATTTAGAGTCCAACACTTAGAAATGAAGCACATTTTATTTTTACGTTGGATAATGCTTTCACATGTAAACATATCTGATAGTTTAAACCATGGGTTAAGAAAATGTTTTTCCAAATAATATGAAAACAATTTCATGTTAATTGGACTCACATGTAGGCAGACGGTGTTATCAGACACGTTTTTATAGATATGGTAGAAAAATGAGATTTTAAAGTAAAACTTTGCATTTGAAAACAAAACAGCTACATGATAACATAAACAACAACAGCTTTGGGCACATTTGAATCAATTGTAATTTCAGTGATCATTGAAAAACTTTTGCTGAATTTATTGGTAGAATGTTCCTAAAAACACACCAGTATGGAAAACATGTGAAATATGGTTAACACCATCCACTGTGAACCATAAAAACGAACTTTTTCTGTTGTTTATTTAAACCCCAAGTTTAAAACAGCAGTGATTTGTTTTAGTGATCATTTAAAGCTGGCTCAGAAAGTGAATCAGACCCCAATGACTCTTATGTTAAACACTGCGAGAAGGTTGGAGGGATGATGGCAATCGTCATAATTAGTGTTTGAACTTGGTTTTGTTTTTTGATTCAGAGTAGTTTTACTTTTACTTGCTTTTACTTTTATTTCCACCCACTGGTTCTTTTAAGGCACCAAAGTCTAGTGGGGTAGAGTTTGAAAAGGATGGTGGTTTGGGGTGAAATACACTCCTTTACAACAGTAACCTTTACCAGTTGCGAAATATGACCATGTGACAAGTTTGTGCACAACTGTGAACATGTTTGTAACTGTCGGCATGATGACGTTGTATATAATTTGGATTTTTTTTTTTTATCTTGTCAAGATCCATGTCATGATTGTAAATTGTTTAAGCTGTACATTACTTTGTTTGTTTTTTGTAGTCAACGTTTTGGTGCTTTTATTTTGAAAGTCAAGTTCGCTTACAAGTTGCGCTAGTTTCCTCTTTGGGTAGAACGAAGAAAAACACCTGTAAGCGCGCAGAAAGAATGGTTTTATTGAAAGACATGTTAAGTGGACTTTAACTACACACGGTTAAACGGTTAAAGGAAACCTCAGAAGAACGGCGGCTAATCCCCTTTTTGCAGCATGCAGCCAACAAGGTATTTATTTATAGTGTTTGTTGTACAGTGTTTTTACTGCTGTGTCTTACGCTGAGTTTTATTTTGTTAATGCTGTATAATTTTCACGGTGGCTTTGGAGAGAAGTCTTCAAATAAACCAGTGACAGAAAACCACTTGCGTCTGCCTGTGCTTCGAGGGAATTATAATGTTTATTTCTGCTGTAATGTTGGACATTTTAACATGACAGTCTTTAAGTGATGACGTATGAATACTGCTCTGTGTTTATTAACGTTGTTGTGTTTATAACATGTTTTAATGCTTTGTATGTTGTTCTATTGAATCTGAACAAGCCCCTAAAAACAGTCAGTGATCACTGTCGGCCTCTCTCTGTTTTTATTACCACTGCCTCAGTTTTGGAGCCTCTGGTGGACATTAGAGGAACTGCAGTTTTTGGCACTTTGGATTTGGCTTAATTTCCAGCCCCAGGGCTTAATGTTGGCTTCAGCACATTTCCAATGCCGTGGTCCATTTAAAAGTCCCTCTTGAACCATAGTCAGTAGGTCCTCAGCTAACTCGCAGGAGCCAAAAAGATTTCAGAAATGAACTTGTCATCTGGTCATAATGGCTCTGGTCCCTCACTGACGTTCATGTGATACACATATATGTATGTAGAAAATACAGACTCAAAGCAGCAAAAGTTTCAGTACTATTATTTTTATGTGGCAGTTTCAAATACAGACTAAACGCTTACAGGTGTTATTTTAGGCAGTTTTGTTAATTTGAATGTTTCATTAAGTTAAGATTAAGTTTTTTATTAGATCTATACTTAATAAATGGTTTGGTTGCTCAGGCTCGTGTTTTTCTTTTCCAGTTGCTACTGTACTCTTAGCTTTTGGATTATTGAGTAAACAGAATGCAATCAAGTAACCGTCATTAATATAGGCATCATAAAGGCGACTTAAAGAGGTGTTTCCTTCAAGCTGTCATAGGACAAAGGTCTCTGAGCTGTTTAAACATCTGTCCGTGTGGTCTTCAAAATTAATCTTAGGGTCCTTCAAGGCATTTTTTGATACTCAGTCCAGAACATTGTCTAAAAGCCATAGTGAGTCCACTTGAACTTGCTGTTCTAAAGGATCAGCCTGAGATGTTTATGCAGTAAGACAACGTGAGGCTTTTGATTGTCTTTCAGAGTAAGGACCATCTGGTTTCCTACGGTTCTTGTCTGGGAACCCAGGTAAAGTTCCACCGGCCCTCCACGTCCTTTCTGACAAAGGCCTGTCCCTGGGGGAAGCTGTGGGTCTTGACGCTGCTGGACGGACTGAGGGACATGCTGAATGCCAAATCTGTCCGGTTGCGAGGCGTATGTGGTGCTGCCGGAGGATGACATGGGCTCGTTGGAATGAAGCCACTAGCAGAACTCCTGGGTTGGTCTGCACCTGAAGGCAACACGGGGGTGGGGAAGACTCTTTCCGCTGGTGGGTTGAACTGGATCGTGTGTTGTGATGGTGTCTGGGTTTCTTGTAGTGAAGACCAGTAAGAGTGATGGTCAGCAGGATTTCCCTCCAAAGTCTGGACTTGACTGAAGGCAGTGAGAGAACAGGTCTCAGCAGACGGGGCGCTGTAGGTCCTGGTCGTGGCTTCAGGAAACTCGTAATGTGTGCTCACTCGAGTGGCAGTGAAGTCGTCTGGGCAGTTTGAAGCTGACTCAGGAGGATTTTCACAGTTTGCTTCTTGGCATTCAGCAGCACTGTACCTACAGCTGGTTCCATGTGTTGCTCTTTGACAGTAACTGTGGACTGAAGTATCTGTGGATATGATGACAGGAGGGCCGAAAGAAGAGTTGGGATTGCATTCTGGGAATGAGGATGGATTGACGGCAGTATCGTAAACCAAACTCCTGAGGCTCCACTCAGAGGAGGACTCCTCGGATGTATCGATGGTGTCCCGATCCTTCAGTCCCAGAGTTCGAAGGACCCAGAGGTCCAGGTTTGGTTCTGAGCAAGCAGATGTCTCTAAAGACTCCGAGCAGAACTGGGCAGTGAGGTTCCTGCAGACTCTTTTGCTGATTTGTTGGGGGGGCGCTCGCTGATCCCCACAGAAACTGTCAAAGCAAGCCAGGCTTCTCTTCAGCTTCCTCCTCCCATCAGCAGTTAGTTTCTATAAGAAACAAGGACCGAATAACAGCAGCGTGTTATTATCTTCTTTATCGGTGGCAAACATTTAATGCTTTGATAGAGCAAAAGACATTTTGGACTGATATAAAAGTGAACTTTGAAAGACTTGAGATGTCTCCAGGATTAGTGATCCATGGTTTCATTAACAGTGTCTGAATGTTTCAGTTGGCATAATTTGTTTTACATAATTTTTCTACTTCTGTACAAAACATATTCATGTTAGAGCTACAGGGTGACGATGGATCTGAAGGCTGATAGGGTTGGTATGAAGTCAGCAGTGATGTGGACCCATACCAGTTTTTGTGTTAACGTGAGAGCTGAGGCTGAGGGCATACCTGGTAGTTTACTGAATAGTTCCTACCTTCAACTACGACCACAAGATAGGCGTTACAAGCAGTCCAGCCTTAGATATAAGGTGAGGAGGTCGGCCATTTGGAAGACTAGAGCGTCCACATCGAAAGGAGGCAGCTAAAGTGGTTTGGGCGTCTAACTAGTTTCTCCTAGGCAAGTTATTTTTTCTCTTTTTGGGGGGCTATGACTAACAAGGAGAATCCCCCGGGCACACCCAGGACACGTGAAATATGTCTTTATGACTCTCAGCTCAGTAGATGAAGATCTGAGTGTCTTTGTTTAGACTGCTGGTTTATTTCTGTCTTATTGCTGTCAGTGCGTCTGATGCTGCACGGACCTTTGCCTTTTGTTCCAGGTTTCTCACAAAGGAGGAATTGAGGAATGCTCTGAGCTTGTTGTTCTCCTCCTGCAGCCTGGCCAGCTCCTCCTCCCTCTGCAGCAGAGTGTCCTGGAGCTGGAAGGATACAATCACATCACAGCAATGCAGATTATAAGGACGCGGGTATATGAACTGCAGAGGTTCAGTGGCACACATCGACCGGTTCTTTTGAAATGTGTTACGGTTTACTGAATACACAGCGGATCATCTGCCTCCGTCACACCAACCCTCTGCATTGTCCTTGTTCACTACATCCATGAACCTCCTCTGAGGTCTTCCTCTTCTCCTCCTGCCTGGCAGCTCCGTCTTCATCATCCTCTGTCCCTCCTCTGCACATGTCCAAACCATCTCAGCCTCTCTGACTCTGAGCTGTCCCTCTGATGGACTCATTTCTGACCCTGTGCATGCTCTCTAACAAATATTGCTGTCAGTTAGACGTGCTAGATGTTTACGTTCACAGTGTACCAGCTGAAATAAGAAGTGTTACAGTAGCTTACTCAAAAAGGACAAAAAGGAACTGCTATACGTTGAGGGTCAGGTTGTGTCTTTTGCACTCCATGTTTAACCTCAGCTGCTGAGCTAACTGTAGTTCGTGTGCACTAAAACAATAATAAATTAATTGTGAGAACCTGTTGGTACCTGTTTGTTTCTCTGGAGGTGAGGAGAGAGATCTTCCGTCCACATCAGAGCAGCCGGAGGCGTGGAGTCAAAGACACAATGAGACTCTGAGAGGAAGACACACAGCAGACTTTAAACTGGTGGCAGTGGAGGATTTAGTCAGACTATTTGCCCGGCTGAAGTTCTGGATTCAAAACCATGCTCTCAAAGTCAGAGAAGGCTTTTTATTACATTTTAACACAGGAGTGTATGCTCAAGATTGGAGCAACCTCCAGCTGAGCATTAGAGATTTGGTTCTTTTGAAACTTGTGTCCACATAACCAAATAAATAGATTTGTCTTAATGTTTCAGGCCCAGAGGCTTCCACCTGTGAGACCACCCATTAGTTGCTGAGGTCCAATTTTAAACCCTCAAACTGAGGACTGATAGCTTGATTTAGACTTCTGCAGGAAATCTGGGTCCTAACTGACGTAACCAGAAACTCATTTTTCTCCTACACCACAACCTTGCACGACATTCAAGTCTTTGTGGTATGCACCGACCCGACGTCTAGTTACATTTCTCTGGAGGTGCACATCAGGTTACATAGAAGGTTCCGGTTAATTACGGCGTAATTCTGACACAGAAGTATAATTCATGTGTTAGCTGCCGCTATCTTAGCTTTTTGAAACCAGATGTGACAGGTGAGGGGCGGGGCTGACCTTTCATTCCATGGTAAACCATGGCTCACTTTAAGCTGACTCTAATGTGACCCTAATTTAAAACACGTTGGATTTAAAAGGACTTGAAACCAACTGCCGCGACCATAAATGAGCAGAAGGCTTTTATCCTCATAGACTTCTAGAGGGAGGTCTGGGCCTCTTTGCTTAGGCTGCTGCCCCCGCGACCCGACCTCGGATAAAGCGGATGAAGATGGATGGATGGATGGAGACTTCTATATAATGACACTTCTATTTAAGCCAGAGGAGCTGCCCCCTGCTGGCCATTAGTAAGAATGCAGGTTTCTTCCATTTCATCAGTACTGGTTTCACTTCTACCACATCGAAACTTCCTTTAATTGTTATTAAAAGTCTTCACAACAATGCGTGGATGGTTATAAAGCCCTTGGTTTTTGGTCTTGAGGCTCTGATTTCACATCAGCAGCATCTAGTGGTCGTTAGAGGAGCTGCAGTGTGGAGAAACCAGGGCAGGACATTCTTGACAAATTGGACTCTTGGAGAAAGAAGAGCCTGAGAAAATTAAAAGATGAATCTTAATATAAACTGTTCTGGATGTTTCCATCTGCAGCAAAGAGAGCTGAGACAGATCGCTCATGTTGAACATGCCGGGAGCTTCTTGTGTTTGATGAATGATCCTCCAGCTCGCTGATTCTCACTCTGCTGAATGTGGCATTTATAGAAATGTAGAATAATTCCTTCCATGAAGAATACATCGCAGTCAGCAGAGTACAGCTGCCTTCTGCATCCTCGGCCTCTCACTAACTGTTACTATCTGATGCTGTTAGTTGGACTCACCCCATTCGGGCGATGACTCGTCACGCTGCTCTCCGAGGTCGCTGAGGTCAACGGGGTCATGGACCCAAACAGAGGCCAGGGTTTCCATGGAACAGTCAACAGTGTCTGGGCCGAGAGCCAGGGCCTGGAGCATGAGATGGTGATGGTGAAGAAATGGAGAAGGACGGGGAATCCCTACAGAGAAACAAATGAAGGGAGGGAGGGAGTGTGTTTTTATACTTGTGTATCTATCTTTGTGGCGGCTGTTTAATCCTTGTGGGGACACGTTAGCTGCTCCACACTTTGGCTCACGGTTTCAAAGAGTTGTTTGAGGTTCAGACTAGTGTTGATATGGTGACGATCAACACTTCAGAACGCAAAAGTATATGGACACCTGAACACTGAGATATCTGTACAACATTTATTCAGTGATGCTGTCTGCCCCCTACAGGCAACAAGAGGGACTGCAGAAACTGCAAGGCTGTTCTCGAGAATAAAAAATGTACCTAAAGAAGTGTGGCTACTCTTACAGAACAGAAGAAATCTTTTCTCCTCACCATGAAAAATAGAGCCAACAAATGCCCCTACAGGTCACAGATCACAAAACAGGAGCAGTAAAACTACTGCCTGCAGCAATGCACAATGGGAAAAGTGCACACACTCCAATTAGTTGTTCTTTTTTTGTTTTGTTTTTTAGCTCATTCTGCACTTAAAATGAATTTAATACAACATTTTAAAATAAAATCCAAGTATTGGAGCTTTATAAATTGGATTTAGTTAACCTGGAACTAAATCATCTGATATTTAGCGTTAACTTTTGGGGGCAGTTCAGCAGGGACTAGAAGATATTTCACCCAATGCTGCGCATGTTTTTAATATTCTTGCAGCCATCACAACCTTCTTCATGGTTTATTTCCTTTGAAAGCGCTTCTGCAAACCAGAGTGTCCACTTTAATTATTACCCCATCACCCATAATCCCCCCCCCCAAAATGTAAATATGTAAATCCTGTCATCCTGTCAAGCATGTGTGCTACTTGTGGATAGAAAGCAATTAAAAAAGTTAAGTTCTGAAATATCACAGTAATGTCCCCGCAAGGGACATGGGAGAAAAAAAATTAAGACGGACTTTTGCGAGATCTCGCAAAACAAACTCGGGATCTCGCAAAAGTTTTGCGAGATCTCACAAAAGTTTTAGCCGCATTCTTCGGAGGCCGCCAGCTCGAAGCCGACCAGGAGGTCGAGGCACGATGTGCCGGGAAAGCGGTGTTCCTCCCGGCTGTAGTAGGTCTCGACCTCCCGTTAGCTTCGAGCTAGTGGGTGTCAGATCTCCGAAAACATCGGAGCACTTTTGCAAATATGTGATGTCTTGTAAACCAAGCAGGTATCTGACGTTTACACAGCTACATTCACGCCTCAAAATATCTTAAAAGTGTATTTTGTGACCCAGAAAGAGTAATATTACAACTAAGTAGCTGCCGCCATTGTTGGAATTCAACTTTTGCGAGATCTCGCAAAAGTTTTGCGAGATCTCGCAAAAGTCCGTCTTAATTTTTTTTTTCTCCCATGTCCCCTGCAGGGCTCTGTAAAAATTAATGTATATAAGGTTAACTTCATTTATACATTAATGTTCTGTTACTTTTTTAACTGCATGTAAACTGACTGCCATGATGTTCAATCTGAACATATTCAGTAAAAGGACGAGATGTTACAATCCCTGATAATGCATCCAGTCCTTTTACTGAATATGTTCAGAATGACTGTCATTCTGAACATATTCAGATCTGATTCATAATAATAATTAAAAAAAACATAGATATAACAAAAACCTTGTAAAATATTAACTGAGTGTGTGCCATGCATCATAGAGCTCAGATATTTTACACAGAAACTCTTCAAAAAACATCAGAGATCTGCTTCTTATAGATTTGATTAGATTTAATGTTCTACATGCAGAACCGTTGCTTAACAGAAATCCCACCACTGTGTTGTTTTGGTTTTTGTGCCACCCCATTTAAAAACGCCCGGAGACTCCCCCGTGTCCCTTTGAATCTCTTAATTCAGACAATTCAGGGGAAAATGGA